TCTCTCTCTCTCTCTCCTACCAATGATGCCAGTCACCAAGTCTTGTCCCTTTTATTTCCTGAACCTCTCCTAAATCTAAACCCCCTTGTATCCCCAAGTCATCTGAATCCACTCAGACTTACTCTCTCTTCTTGTACCATGGCACCCAAATCATTAGCTCCCTGCTTTCGATACCAATTTTTTTGAAAACTCATGCCAGACTACATCTCTCTGTGCCCCGAATTCTGCCGTAGCTCCCTCCTCTCCACAGGAGAAAGTCTTCATTCTTTCTGTCTCCGTGATGGGGTTGCTGCTAACCACCACGTCTGCCTCACCTGAAATCCCACGTTGCACATTTCAGCTTTAAACAACAGACATTCTCCATAAGGACAGACAGAAGCGGGGGTTGATGAGCAAGAAACAAATATTTCCAAATAGAAAGCAGTTTTTTTGCTTTTGTTTCACTTTTGTTTTTAGAAATTGAAAGCTACCTGAACACACTGTCAAGTGGTAAGTGATTCTCATATCCTCAGTCTCTCTCCTTGCTGTCTTTGGTTCTCCAAAAATAATTTTCTTTCCCTTTTTTCTCCTTCCCTCTTTTTCTCTCTCCCTCCTTCCCACTTCCTTTTTTGTAATCCACTCCCCCCACTAGCACCACATATGCTTCATAATTCTTAGAGCACAGTAGGTTATAATCACACTCTGAGCTGAACAGAAACCCAGCTAGAATAGGCTTTCAGGACCACGGAGAGCTGCACTGCGCCTCGCTTGGTCTTAGATGCTTTCTAGGATCTTAACATATGCTGAGAATGCTCCACACGAGACATGTTCCTTTCTTCACTTGGAAAAAAAAAAAAAAAATCCCCGTCACCCTTTCAGCAGCATCACCTTAAATGTCGTCTCCTTTTGGAAGCCCTCCATGGTCACACACACCCTCTCCAAAACCCTACTGTGTCAGGTTCACGCATCTTCCCTTTTCCCAGAATCCCCTGAGCTATCCTTATCATTCATCCATCCCACAAATATTTCAGTGTGTATTCTATGCCAGAAACTTATCTAGGCTCTGCAGATACAAATGAGAGCATGTTTGCAAAGGTCCCTGCCTTTGGGAGTTTGCATTCTGGCAAAAGGAGACCGAAAATGAGTAAGACCAATAGCAATATGTTACAAAACAAAGGTACAATAGGGAACATCTTAGTATTGTGAAGCAAGGCAGCACTATTGTCAGAGAAACAAATTCTGAAGAGGGAAGAAAGGTTGAGCACTTGGAGAATCAAGAGGAAAGTGGAGTTGGGGCTGAGAGTCACGCTTTCAAGGACAAGAAGGAGACCAGTGTGGCTGAAGTTATAAGCAATGGAGCGCATTAGTGGGTTAGGAAATGAGGTCAAGGATCTGAGTAGGAGCCAGACCATGGGAGACTATAGACCGCACCAGTGAGGGGTCTGGATGTGGTCTCAGAGCACTTCCTTTGATGCACTGGAGGGATCTGAGCAGGCGTGTGCCAAGCCCCGGCAGAGGCATAGCTGGAGGCTGCTTTGTCTCTACTGCATATGGGGGATCTCACTCAGGATTCAGCTTCCAGTGCCCAGCAGAGCACCTGGCCTGTGGGATGTCTCTGTAAATGTTTGATGAGTGAATGAATGAGCAGATGCATAGAAAATGTTTGAGAAGTAGGGGTTAATATGGGAAGCATGCCTCTTAAGGCCTGAAAAAGAAAATCAATGTCACTTCAGCCTCCTCCCCGCCTTCTCTCACTAACTATGTCCAGTCAGTCCCATTGTCCATTGATTCTTCTGTCGATATCTTTCTCTCTTAAAACTACCCAGTAGCCTATATCCTCCCGTCACCAACCCCAGCTCAAACCTTATCAGCTATTATCTGGACCCCTTCATAAACCTCCTCACGAGTAGCCAACTTCCTGTCTCTTTCCCTCTAGTCCATCTTTAACACAGGTCCCTGAGGGACATTCAACACCTTGGTGTGACCCTGTCCCTGCCCCCTGCCAACCACTCTCTCTTGGTTTCCTCATGGGGGACCGGAGATGGTGGACAAGATCACTCCATTCCAAGATCTAAGATATTCCTTCCTTTTCTCTCAATTCAAATATCCTTCATTTGTAAGATTTTTAATTGTGGTAGGGCAGTAAAATGAAGTTGCGTAAAGTACTTAGAACTTCCCCAAACCACGGCACTCAATGTTGTTTCTTACAGTAGTACACACTAGTAGTAGATGTACTGGCAGCAGCAGCAGCAGCAGCAATTACCTATCTTAAACTACCCGGCCTCCACCACTCGCTCTCACAGACCAGGCCCCAGGTAGGGCCTTTAACCTCCACCATACAGACCAGGGATGACACACTGCAATTATTCCTGCTGCCTGTTTCGGTGTGGTTTACAAAGGAACAGTGGTCTTTATACTGTCTTTTTTTTTTTTTTTTTTTAAATGGATTTTAAGTATTTTTTTTTTATAGAGGCATGTTTTATTTATTTATTTTATTTGTTTGTTTGTTTGTTTGTTTTTTTTTGTTGTTTATACATGCACTGGGTACAGTCAGAAGCGTGGGAGGGTGAGAGAATTCACCAGAGCCAGAGTGGGGAGCAGAGCAGGCAGAAGGACTGAAGTACACTGCTGAGGGGAGCAGCGGGCGGCAGGAGAGGTCTGCGCGCCATGTGGGATCCTCCTCCGGTGGCCGGGGAGCAGCCGGGGATCGAACCGGCGCCGCAGAGGCCGCGGGCAGCTTCGCAACCCAGCGCTCAACCGCTGCGCCTCCGGGGAGGCCCTCTTTATACTGTCTTAATGGTGGGCGGATAACCGCCCCCCAAACTAATCTTTGATGACACACGAATATTCTATCAAATTGAAATGTCAAGGTCTACATATCGGTGCAAATGGAACAAGCCACGCCCCTGACCCACCTCCAGCAGCTTTGGTGCTACCTCTGCAGCCTGGCAGGGCTTCGTGGTAGCAGAGCTGAGTCACAAGCATCAGTGACCCCGTGTCTCACAAAGCCTGAAATATTTATCCTCTGCCTCCAAACAGAAGGTGCCTGCTGACCCCTGACCAAGGTTTGTCCCCTGAACAAGCCCACAAAGGAAGACTGTAGGTCAGAGTGAGTAGCTGCAAGATTTGAACCCCAGATCTCTCAAAGTTGGCACTGTCTTTCTAAGTCAGCGTGTGCCTTCAGCCACTTCACCCCACCATCTTGAAAGGACAGGACAGGAGGCTCTGGGGTGGGATGCATAAGTCGCAGTCTATGAAATGAACTGGAGGAAATGAACAGGTTCAGTACCCTCTCCCCTCCCCCCCATGACTCTGTTGTTCCATAGGAGGGCTGACTTCCAGCCTTGAGGGCCATGGAGTCTCAGCTGGACCATGGGAAGTCAGGTCGGGGTGCACTGGGGGGAGTTTGGCTTTTGTAATTAGAATTACTACCTCCATTCTATTCCCAGCCCTGCCACTGACAAGCAACGTCGCCTCTTCTATTTCCCTTCTGACTTCTGTGAAGCTCAAACAGTGGGATTTTCCCTCTAATGTTTCAGGTGGGTTAAATAAAAGTCTCCATGCTACCTACCCTTGCCCCACTTTCGCTCTCTCTAGGCCACTATTTTTCCATCTGAAAAATGATGAGACCTTTCGGCTGTGACACTCTGGGGTGGTAATATTCTACGTGTCTTATTTTAGCTCAGTGTCTGGTTCCACAAGCCATGATTCAGGTTTGCACGGAGGTTGCACCCTGGTTTCCCTGGAAAAGGTCTCCTCGGGTTAGGTTGGAGGCATGGGGGAGGCTTCGAGAAAGCTGGGTGAGGAGCTGTGAGGAGGCTGGGGGAAGGGATATTTGGAGATCCATCTTCACCTACTTGCAGCACCCACTAGAAAGAGGGAAGAGAGTTGGGGGGGTACATGGGGCCGAATGGAAATGAGACATGCTGCAGGGGTTGTTCATAACGTATTAATCGAATTTAAAGGACTGCAACTGAGTTTAACTAAATTATGTTGGAGTAACTCAAACTGAAGAATTGAGTAAGAGTGGATTGGGGTTATCTGGACTGGACTGATGGGGTGAGTGTGTTGTTTGTGCTGAGTTGAGCATAGTTAGATTGGACTGGACTGGACTGACATTTGGAGCCAGGTAACACGTCATAAAGAACTCTGGAATTCAGGATTCTCTACAGTTCTCAGCTCACGATGGTGTCCTGGGCCACTCCATGAACAATTCTGGGCCTCTGTACCTCCACTCTTATCAAATGACTACTACTCATAATCCCCAGGTAGAGATGTTACGAGAGGGTGTGAGATTGTGCATGCAGATGAGCCTTGTATCTCAAAGGAAAGAAAGAACTGTAAACAATACACCCCAGCTAATGACATGCATGGAAAAAGTATTGAGGGTGAAATGTACTGACACCTACAACTCACCCTGAGAAGCATTTGAAAAATAGATGTATGGTTAGAAATATACACAGATAGGAGATAAAACAATCTAGCCGTATCTTCATGGTTGACTCCCAGTGGTGGGCATATAGATGCTGACTCCAAAATTCTTTTAGCTTTTCTATTTGCACGTTTTTCAGATAAAAGGTGTGGAAAATAAAGAGCCTTGTAAGCTGTTAATTGCTAAAACATCAGAGGTGGTTAAAAATACAGCCTCGGTAGGTGAGCTGCCTCTGTGGCTCACTGCTGCTCGGCCCTGAGCAAATGACTTCATCTCCAGGAATGTTTGTTTCCCTCTCTGTAAAATGGGGCTATTAATAGCGTTTACCTCACAGGACTGTGGTATTAGAACAGCGCCTCCTACCTAATTAGCACCCGATAAGCATTCGCTCTGACTTGGCCCTCTAAACTGCTCTGCAACGTGGCCACTGCCATCTCCGCTTCACAGATAAGAGAAAGAGGACCACAGAGGTCCTGCAACCCCTCTGGGATCACACAGCAAAAAAGCGCCTTGTTCAGTGCAAGAGAGACCCCAAGTTCCTGGAACCTAAAATAGTGCCCCAGCCCATCAGTCATTTCCTTAGGCTCACCCGAGAGGATGAAGAAGATGCCGGACACGAAGGCCAGGATGGTCCTCTGTGGGCGGATGTGGCCGATGTTGCTGATGACAAAGGCGGTGAAGACCAGGAAGAGACTGACCATGGGGAACGGGGTGGCTGTGCGTACTGTCTCTGGGGGAGCGGGAGGGGAGGTAGCAGGTGAGGGGGACTCTCTGAAGGGGCATCTCCCTCAGGCTCCTCCCCTTTCTGGCTCTAACCCCACCCCCCTGACCCAGACCACACCCTTTCATTTGCCCCTCCTTTCCTGCCGACACCACCATCCACAGGCCCAGCCCAGGCCGTCCACCTGGCTCCTCCTCCTTACCCAACCCTCAGCCATCTCTCCAGGCCCCACTAGGTCCCTTGGACCCCACCTTTTCCCTTTTCCAGCCCCTTCTCCCAGGACCCGCCCTGTGGTCCTTGCCCCCTTTTGCCCAGGTGCCCTCTTCCCCTCACTCAGAATATTCTCCGTGTTTTCCGTCACCAAGTTGATCTCCGGTTCAAGGAAATATTCAGAAGCCACGCAGCGCCCCTTCTCCCGGCCTAGGGGGGAGAGAAAGCAGGGTTAGATGCCTGGCCCCTGTGCTCAGGAGAGGCTGGCACAGGGAGGCAGATCCTGAGATGGGGGAGCGAGGCAGACGGTCGCAGCACCCTGAGGGGTGGGGAAGGATGTACAGGCGGCAGGATGTCTGGAAGCATCCCCATGAGGCCCATGGACAGCAGGGACAGGCTGAAGCCAGGACCCTGAGTGGAGAGGGGCTGCCGGCCGGGAGTCATGGGTACCTGGAAGGAGGGTCTCAGTGGGCTCTGGGAGTCAGGGATTTTTCATCCTATTCATGCAACATTCAACATGTGCAGGGGACAAATTCTGAAGCGAGACTACAGCTGCTATGGGGAGACTCTGGGGGCAACCAGAGATTATGGCGTTCCAGGAAACAAGGGGACAGAAACTGGGGCTTCAGGTAGAAACTGGAGTCTCCAGGGGAAAAACAGGGTCTGTTCTGGAATCCGCAACATGGGGCTACGGAGAGGGCTCTCGGATCCCAGGCAAGACAGGCGCAGTTAAGTGGAGGGCAGGTGAGGACCTACCTGCGAAGAAGCAGACCCTCCAGAGGCCGGCGTGCAGTGCCATCTTGACCTCCGTGGTCTGGTTCTGCGGCAGCACTGTCCCTTCCTCCATGTACAGCCAGTAGTCGGTGCTGACTGCGATGCCCACAAGCAGCAGGCCACACGCCCCAAACACGCTGCTCAGCAGGGTCAGGGCGCGGCTGCTACAGTGACTCATCCTCAGCGGCGGGGGGCGCCCTGTGGGGCCTAAGGGATGAAAGTGGTCACAGCCCTGTTGGGGCCAACTAAGTCCCCAGCCTCATGCAACCACCTGGGATCCCAGACCTGGGCCGGAAACACCAACCCTAAGCAGAAACCTGTCAAATCTGACCTCTGTGTCCTGGCCCAGGCCCCCACGCCTGAATTTAAACCAATGACTGTTGACCTCAAGCAGAGAAATGGCCTCCCCAAATCTGATACTGGTGCTCTGGCGCCCGATCCTGATCAGAGATGTCACACACCGGACCCCAAACTCCAGGGTAAGATTCCCAGCCGTAACCTTCGGCCCAGACTGGACTCCAACCAATCTGGACCTGGATCCCGAGCAGCATGACTCTCACTAGAAACTCAATGTCCAGGTTCTCAAAGCCAGAACCATGCCTGCCAATCCTAACCTGAGGCCCTGACCCTCCACACCAGACCCCACCAGAACCTCTTACCTTAAACCTGGGCCTGTGACTCAGAAGTGATGACACTGATCTGTGATCTCAACATTCAGACCAGGCATCCCTCCCCTACTCGATCCTGACTCCATGCCCTGACCTGGCACGCTCACCCCTTTCCTCTGGACTGTCTCTGAATAGCAAGCAGAATTTCCCAAAGTGGGTTGCTAAGTGAGGACCCCTAGTCCCCCTAAACCCTTAACCTAAGACCTACATAAGGCCTTGAGCAGGCCCCACCCCCACCCCATCAAAGTTTAAACCCTTGGAGTCTTGACCCGTTTAACACTCAAGTCTAACGCCAAGACTTTGGCCGTGACCTTATAACTCTGATCCTGCACCTCGCCTCAGTGAGATTGTGGCCCACAACCCAAATATAAGATTCCAGAACCCCAACTCTCCCATCTTAGATTTTGGCTACAGAGTCCAGAATGTCAAAAGCATGACATTGGATGTCATGCTTACTAGACAATGTCTAGGAACCCCCCAACTCAGCATCTTAACCAGAGCACCCCAGTCAAAGAATTGATAAGCTAAGGATCAGTGTGCTGAACTCTGACATCCCAACCAGGAACCCCGGATTGCCACTTCCCATCACAAGACCCCCCCGCATTTTCTACCAGAGACTCTTGACCCCGAATTCCCATCTAGAACTTCTTATTACAAACCTTCTTCAACATCCAACCTGGTACTCGGATCCCCCTAATATTAGCCCCCCCAAACTATAACTCATAGAACGCATGCCTCTGGACTCCGAATCCCAATTAGGAAGCAAAAGATTCCAACCAGAGGCTCCTAAACCTTTTCCCACAACCCTCAGCCCCACCAAAACGTTTCACCAAACCACACAATCCTGTGATGCAGGGGGAACTTGGGGTCTTCCTCACCTCTCAACCAGAGACCTCTGCATCTCTACATAAAGGGTTTCTCATCACCCTTTAACTACAGCAGTTAAGATCCCCAAACATGCCCCCAACAATGCAGCCAAGACTTCGCACCCCACTTTTCTGAACCAGATTTCTGTAGCCTCGAAACGGCCCCACCCCGTAAGAACCCTGAAGTCTGAGACAACCTTCCCGGCCCGCTCCCCTCCGGCTCGCCCCATCCGGCGCCCCGCCCCGCCCCCCAGCCTCCGAGGCCTCGGGACAGCCTGGCAGGGCTCCCGCCGGCCCTGCGCCCATCCCCCGCCCGCGGCTCCGGGGCTCGACCGCCAGCTGCCGGCTCGTCTTCCCGGCGCGGGGCTGGGAAACAAGCATGAAAACCCAGTCACCCTGACGGCTTCAGTCCTGGGAACCGACCTCAGCTCCCCCGGCGCTCCCCGGGCTCCCCGCGGGGGCCCTGCCCACTGTCACCCCTCACTACCCCGTGTGACCCCCACCCCTCCTCGCCCGAGTCCTCGCCCCGAGCAGCCCGCCCGCCCGGACGGCGTCCTCCTGGGGGACCCTGCCCCGGCCCGGCCCTCCCGCCCTTCGGGATCCAGCCCCTGGGGCCGGGCGCGCAGACCCACGACCCACCCTCCAAGCCCCAAGTTCGAATTCCATCCCCTTCCGACCTCGTGAGGAGACGGACTCCCCGTTTCTGGGGCCCCCTTCTAGACCCACATCACGGTCTCCCCGTCGGGTCCCCCACCCTCGCCAGGACGCCCCCCGGCGCGGGCCGGCCCCGGCCCCGGGTCTCCGCGCCCGGACGCGGGCGAGAAGAGTTGCCCACTCGGGACCCCGGCCGGCTCGCCGCGTCCCCAGGCCCGCGCGCCCCGCCGCCCCCCCCGCCCCCGCCCCGGCGCCCGGCCCACCGAGGGGCCGCCGGCGCCCCGCGCCCCGCCGGCGCCCACCCCGGGGCCCCTCCCGGCGAGACCCCTCACCTCGCTCAGGGCTGCGCGGACGCTCCGGGCCGCGGGCCCCGCAGCCGCATGACCGGCCCCGCGGCTTCCCCCGGCCGCCGCCGCCGCCCCCGGGGTCGCCGGCGCCCGCGCCCCCCGCCCCCGCCCCGGAGCCCGGCGTCCCGGCTCCGGCCTCCGCCCCCCGCCCCCCGCGCCCGCGGCCTCACTCGGCGGAGGGAGCCGGGAGCCGGGGCCGGCGGCCGCTCATTGGCTGCAGCGGGGCGGGCGGGGCGGGGGCGCGCGGGGGCCGGGGGTGGGGGAGCCGACGCGGGAGCGGAGCGGAGCCGAGCGGAGCGCCCGGGAGGGGCAGGGGCGCGGGGGGCGGGGGGCGCGGCGGGCGCGGGGGGCGCGGGGGGCGCGGGGGCGCGGCGGGCGCGGGGGGCGCGGGGGGCGCGGCGGGCGCGGCGGGCGCGGGGGGCGCGGGGCGCGGCGGGCAGGGGCGCAGCGCGCGCCCCAGTCCTGAGCCCGCGGGCCTGGACCCGGGAGGCTCGGGCGGGCGGGGGAGTCGGGGCGCGGGCGGCGGCGAGCACCGGGGACCCTCCGCGCCCCGCCGAGGCCGCGAGGCCCGGGCCGCGCCGAGACCGGGAGGCCGCGCCGGGGGCCGCGGAGCCCCGAGACCTTGAGCGGGGACGGAGGCGAGGGAGGGGCGCCCCGGGCCGCGGGCCGGCGGGGCGATGCGGGGGCCCCCGCGAGGACCGGCCCTGGGCGCCCGCGGAGCCGGGTCCGGGCGGCGGGAGGAGGCGGCGCGGCCCGGGCCGGGGTCCCGAGCAGCCGGCGGCGCAGAGCGAGCGGGTCCCGCAGCCGCCGCGGCGCGGGCGCGGCCCCCCCGCCGTGATGTCAGCGGGGCCACTCTTAAAGGGGCCGCCGCGCGCCGAGGGTCGGCGCGGGGCTGGGGCGCGGGCGGCGGGCGCGGGCGCCGCGGGGCGCTGGGAGAGGCCGGGGCGCCGGCAGCCAATAGGCCGAGTCCTGATAACCCAAGGGCCTCCGGGACGAAAAGCCGCCACTCCTCCACTCTGGGGGAGCCTGCGAATCTTTGGGGCGCAGTCCCCTCCAAGCACACAGACAGAGGCACACCATTGACACGCGGCGCCTGTCCTGAAACTACATTTCCCATAAGCCCTGACGGCAAGGGGCCGCATTTGAGGGGAAGGGTCTGGCGCGATGCGTGCCGGGAAGTGTAGTCTCTCCGGAGTCCTCGCCGCTCCTCCGGCTCGCAAGTGGGTCAAGGCGGAGCGCGCGTCCCCCGCCTTCGGCTTCCGTCGCCGGCTCCTCAGCTCGCAGGTGCGGGGGGTTTCGGTCTCTCCCTCCGACCGAGTCTCCTCGTCTTCCCGCGGGAGGCTCGCTTTTGATTTCCCAGGTGCTGGGTCTCAGCACGTGGCCGTGTGTCTGTGAGTTCGCGTCCTGCTCCCGGCGGCTATGTGCGTGCTCGTGTGCCAGCCACTCTCAGGGGTGTGCGTCTACCTCTCGGTCCCCTGTGCCTCCCCCGCCCCAGGCTGCTGTGTGTATCTTCTCTCGCTGATGGGTCTTTTGTGCTTCCCCTTCTCTCTGCCGCCATCTCCCCCCCACCCCGCCCCCTGTCTCTTCATGGTTTTTTTTTTTCTATGTACAGTCACTTCCCACCTCCGCAGCCCCTTCAGCCTCCAAGCCTAGAAGAAAACATCCAAACACTTCAGCATCAGCATCCCAAATTTATTCTCCAGCAGCGGTGGCCAGTGGGAGATGTAGAGAGTAGAGAAGGAGGGACCAGGGAGTCCCCAGAGTGGTGGCAGGCAGGGGTGGGTGGGGATGAGGGTCCGAGCAGGACTGAGCCATGCACCTGCAGGCGAGCAGGGATGGGTTTATGATGGGGAAGTCTAGACCAAAAGCTGATTGAGAACAGTTGGGGAAAGAGTCCTCCAGATCTCCCAGGAACCCCAGAGCCTAGAGGAGGGGCACTGGAGCAGGAGGCACAGCCCCCCACTTGCTCCAGAATGTAGTGGAGGTGGGAGGGGCCTCAAAGTTGGGTAGCGGGCTGGTTCTGGAAATCCAGTCTGGAACAGCCTACCCCACAAGACTATTTCCCAGAAAGGAAAAAAAGAGAGAGGCATTGAATCTACCAAGACGGAGTCTAGAACCCCAGGGGGCTGGGATGGAGGAGGTGGTTCTGGCACCTGGTGGAGTAGAGTCCAGAACCCTGAGATGGATGAGACTATTCAGCACAGCAGAATCCAGAACACGGGAAGGCTCTAGACACTGTATGGAGTTTAGAATGCCAAGAGCGCTTGGGTGGGCATCTAGCACCCACAGGGCAGAGGCCAGACTATTGGGGAGCAAGATATAGAATCAGAAAGGGGTGGCAGTGGGGTTAAACCGGTGTGGCGGCGGGGGCGATGGCGACACCTAGCGGCTGCAGGTGAGATTACATGACTGGCACAGGCACTGGGCTGATGGGGCTGCGGGCGTCCGGGTGCACGAAATCGGGGTTCACGTAGGTGAAGCCTTGGAAATCCGCCTGGTCGATGCTGGCAAGAACTAGGCGATCTGGGGGCGTCAATGCAGGCGCTGCCCGCGTGAAAAACTTGTCGAAATTCTCGCCGCTGCGGCCACACTGTGGAAAATACCCAGAGGACAACCTGAGAAGTTCTGCCCCCTCCTTGGGTGTCCATCTATGTACCCCGTATTCACCTCCTGTCTCCTTTGGGCCTCTGCACATCCCTCATAACCTTTGCCTCTCCCTTTAGGGGGTCTCCCCACAAGGAACCCCAGGCCACCTCCACATGCAGGTACTGGAGCTCACTGCCCCTGCCCCCCCCCCACCCCGAACTAAAGGGCGAGAAAGGTGACTGACCGGGCGGGGTCTGAATGGAGGCGCAATCTCCAGTCGTTCCAGCCGTTCCCAGTCGATCCAGCGGAAAAAGCCATGGGCACGAATGGTGGGTTCCCCGTCGGGCCCTGAGCCCAGGCGCTTTGCTGGGTGCTTGGTTAGGAACTGTGGAAAACACAGAGAAAGACGGACAGACGGACAGAATCCCAGACAGGGAGGCCCAGAGAATGAGAAAAAGAAAGACAAGGATAGAGAGACACCCACAAAGAGATCCAGAGAGGAAAAGACAGCAAGGGGGAGCAGGGGTGGGGGCAGGAGAAATTAGAAAGGGAAGGTGAAAGAGGTGAATACGGAGATGGGACAAGAGGGAGCCACACCCAGAGAGCAAGGGGCAGAGAAAGGGAGAGACCAGGACAGAGAAACCCAGACAGAGTGGAGGAGGACAGAGGGGAACACCAGAGGGGGATGGAGAGAGGTTGAGACCAGAAGAGGGGAACAGAGATTGAGTGAAGGAAAGAGACCCAGAGAAAGTAGGAGATGGAGGAGATTTGGGGGGGGGGTGTGCAGAGACCCAGAAAGAGAAGAGAATGAAGACCCAGCAGACAAACCCCCAGGGAGAAGCAAAAGAACAGATAAGAAGCAGAGATCAGAACAAAGAGCCCCCAAAAAGAGGAGGAGAGAGATCCGGAGAGAGAAGGGCAAGACAGAGTGTGAGTGTGTGTGTTTGGGCGTTGGGGGGAGGGGTAACATAGAGGCAGGGGACAGAGGTTCAGATTGTGGACAGAGATCCCAAAGGACACAGAGGACAGGCAGAGACACAGAAAGCCCCCATCATATAAATGTAGATGGAGGCACATGGACGAGACAGCAGCCCACAGAGACAGGAGCTAGAGGCAGACTGTGCTAACATCTCTTGAAAGCTGCTAGACTAGGCTCTTTCTCCTGAGTTAACCCCCAAAGAGGAAACTGAGGCTCCCAGAGTTTCAGAGACTCATCCAAGAAAAGTGGCAGAAGTTAGGCTCACTGGGCCCACCCTGTTTTGGGGAGACAGGCCCTAGCCTTCCTGCACTTCCCTGAGTAGTGGGAAAAAGAAAATGGGAGAGGGCCTCCCTGGTGGCGCAAGGGGTTAAGACGCAACTTATGAAGCTGTCCGCAGCCAGTGCAGCACAAGTTCGATCCCCAGCCAGGGAGACACCCACATGGCGCAGCAGACCTCTCCTGACTTGCCCGCTGCTCCCCCCAGCAGTGTATTTCAGTAGATATGCCTGTTCTGTTCCCTGCTCTGTCTCTGGTGAATCCTCTCACCCTCCACACCTCTGGCCTGTACCCCAGTTTTTCTATGCATAAATAAATAAATTAAAAAAAAAAAAGAAAATGGGAGAAGAGCAGCAGGGGCATATGCCGGCCCCAGCATGAGACAAGCTTTTCCAGCAGATGGAAGGAATGGGCACTTGCTCTAATGTGCACAGAGACACCACATGGGCTGTCCTGGAAGGGAGCAATGGGGTGCACTGGAGAATCTGGGAGTCGGGGGCTCTCACCCCCTTGCAGATGGCCACGGCTTCCCGGGACAGTGACTTGGGGTAGGTGACGGTTTGTTCCATGATGGCCTGAAACAGTTCTTCTTCATCCTCCCCATCAAAGGGGGGCTAGGAAGGAGAGGGTGATTAGTCAGAGACTTGGCAAGCTACCTGTTGACACCTTCCACACCCTCATCACCCACCATGAAATGAACACCCCCCCCCCACTAACCACAGAGGAGAGTTTTATCTTTCTCCCTCTCAGATGCCCTCCTTTCTTATCTCAGATGCTTCAGCTCTCTGTACCTCTTTGCCGTCCTGTCTCTATCTGAGGTGTAAATCAGCAGGGTGTTAATGAGGCAATATGTCATTTAAATAGAAGAGAGGAAAAGCTGCAGGGGAAAACTGTAAAAGCATTTTTCCTGGTTGAATCAGTAGTCTCCAGTCTTTGGGGTTAGGGAAAGCAACCCAAAGCAAGGTTTCTTAATCTTTGGGAACTGAGGAGCTGGGTATACAATAGAGGGGGGTCTCTGATCTTGCTTGGGAATAATGCATCATCTCCATCTCTTAAAGTCTCTAAATGGACATTTTCTTCAATTAAAAATATAGGCAACCCGCTCCACAGTAGCACTTGTGACTTTATTGCCAGCAGAAATCACAGATATTTTCTTATTGTATTAGAGAAGCAGATACCTTAATATATCAGTAATCTCCACTTCAAAATTGCTGACAGACCTTCCTATTTACCTCCAATTACTGTTAAAACATATTATTTAATTCACTAATCATAAATCTCCTATATGTCCACCTCCCAATGTTTAATATTTTAGGCAACTCTATACCTTTCAAATAAACATATTTAATTGACATTTGTTACTTTTGTAAGTTTT